TAAACTGTACATTCAATGTACATCTCAAAAGTAGTTCTTTAAGATCTGTAGTAGGTATCCCTATGTTCAATTTGTTGTCTTCAATATATTTGCATATAAAACATATGGTCTCTGTCAGTGGAACGTTCGTAAATAAGGATTCTACATCCAAAGACAACATTTGTTTATTCGACGCATTTATATCCTGTATACATTCAACAAATTGGAAGGTGTCCCGAAGGGAATGATTAGATAGTTGCCCCCTGACTGGTTCGAGGATTTCAGCTAACCACCCAGCTACTGGATGATAGGGCGATCCAGACATATCCAAGATAGGGCGAAGTGGAACTCCAGCTTTGTGTATTTTCGGTAGACCATACAGTCTTGGTATTAGAGATCCTGTCGGTCTGATCTTTTCGTATAATTCTTCACGAATGAGATGATTGTTCTTCATTCTCTTTAACGTATCAGTAAGTTGTTTCTCAATTAATTCCGTCTTGTTTTTCTCGTTCGGTTTCGAGAATTTACTGCTGTCTGAAAGTAGACATGACATTTTATCGATATAATCTTTTCGATCCATAATAACAACACCTGTACCCTTGTCAGGGCGTGTTAATAGTATATCGCTGTTATGCGTCAAAAGCTTAAGTTCTTCTTTGTGCTGTTTAGTAAGAAGACTTTGCATTTTTGATCTAGCATTAAGGTATTGATTGCAGGAGTCCGTAATGGTAGATTTGAAGCATTGGAAATCCTGGTCTGACGATGGTGTGAGATCATAGGTTTGACTGAGTAAATTCTCAAACTGGACATGAGTATGTAGCTTGTTGATATTGAGATTAACATCGCAAAACTTCGAGCCCATAGACAAGGCTTCCATTTGTAATTTCGATAAAGATATAGAGGAGTGGTTGAACACGTATCTCTCCGAATTCTCAGGAAATTGTCGAAGACGTTCGATAGGTTTTAGGCTATTAGATAGCTTCGAAAAGAGTCTCTTCGCTGAATCACTTGTTTTGATTTTCTAAATGTTACAATGGGAATTTTCCATGAGTTAAAATATAGCAAAGATCACTTGACAGTAAAGGAACTCAACGGGTTCCTGCGTTATTCTGTCAAACTTGCCGTGGTGAATGCAGAGATTTGTTTTCTTAATGAATGCATCAATAATCATGAGTATCCGAAATGGTATTGGAAAGTGCTCCGACGCAATCACATATATCCTAATGCAAAATCTCTCAAGAGACACGCATTGAATCACATTGATTCTATCAGTTCACGTATCCCTGAGCTAGAAAGGAATATATCACAAAGATCTTCTGCTCTATATGACTTATCGGTTGATGAACGTCAGACGTTTGATGATTATGTCAATGTGGTCACCAACAAACAAACTATGTCTTTTAATTCGAAGCTATCTAATAGCCTAAAACCTATCGAACGTCTTCGACAATTTCCTGAGAATTCGGAGAGATACGTGTTCAACCACTCCTCTATATCTTTATCGAAATTACAAATGGAAGCCTTGTCTATGGGCTCGAAGTTTTGCGATGTTAATCTCAATATCAACAAGCTACATACTCATGTCCAGTTTGAGAATTTACTCAGTCAAACCTATGATCTCACACCATCGTCAGACCAGGATTTCCAATGCTTCAAATCTACCATTACGGACTCCTGCAATCAATACCTTAATGCTAGATCAAAAATGCAAAGTCTTCTTACTAAACAGCACAAAGAAGAACTTAAGCTTTTGACGCATAACAGCGATATACTATTAACACGCCCTGACAAGGGTACAGGTGTTGTTATTATGGATCGAAAAGATTATATCGATAAAATGTCATGTCTACTTTCAGACAGCAGTAAATTCTCGAAACCGAACGAGAAAAACAAGACGGAATTAATTGAGAAACAACTTACTGATACTTTAAAGAGAATGAAGAACAATCATCTCATTCGTGAAGAATTATACGAAAAGATCAGACCGACAGGATCTCTAATACCAAGACTGTATGGTCTACCGAAAATACACAAAGCTGGAGTTCCACTTCGCCCTATCTTGGATATGTCTGGATCGCCCTATCATCCAGTAGCTGGGTGGTTAGCTGAAATCCTCGAACCAGTCAGGGGGCAACTATCTAATCATTCCCTTCGGGACACCTTCCAATTTGTTGAATGTATACAGGATATAAATGCGTCGAATAAACAAATGTTGTCTTTGGATGTAGAATCCTTATTTACGAACGTTCCACTGACAGAGACCATATGTTTTATATGCAAATATATTGAAGACAACAAATTGAACATAGGGATACCTACTACAGATCTTAAAGAACTACTTTTGAGATGTACATTGAATGTACAGTTTACTTTCAATGAAACAATCTACAGGCAGAAGGATGGTATTGCGATGGGTTCTCCCTTGGGTCCTCTCCTTGCAGACGTTTTTATGTCCAGTCTAGAAAATGGTTCCCTGAAGCCTATGATCCAAAGCTTTCAAATATATAAAAGGTATGTAGATGACACCTTTATTATTTGTAATATTGATTGTGACCTGAATAATATATTAAGTGTATTTAATGATTGCCATCCTGCGATAAAATTCACACTCGAAATGGAGAACGAGTCTAGCATTCATTTCCTCGATGTGAACTTATCAAGAAGGACCGATGGAACTCTGAAGAGATCGATTTATCGTAGGCTGTTATGGAATGGTCAACTGACAAATTTCTATAGCTGGGTACCTATTGGTCGTAAACGAAACCTGGTCCGGTCGCTTGCCACTCGTATTCGGCGCATATGTAGCACTGATACTGTGGAAGATGAGTTATACACTTTGAGGAAAATCCTAATGGAAAATGGATTTCCACCACGTTTTATAGATAAGAATATACATTCAAAGCCTACAAAACGTGACTTATCAACCGCTCCCAAGAAAATACTTTACATGAGCTTAGAATTCAAAGGGGACTTAGCTTCCGATATCATGAAACGAAGGATATCACAGTCCCTGAAAAGAACATTCCCTGCTGCCTCCCTGAGAATAGCTTTTACTAGCCGACCATTATTGTTCAATAACCTGAAGGACAAGATCCCAATGTTGACCAACTCTATGTGCGTTTATCAATTCACCTGCTCTTGTGGAGCTAGGTATATCGGTCGTTCGACTCGAGTTTTGTCCAAGAGGGTGCAAGAACATTATCCTGCATGGCTACGAAAAGGTGGAAGTGGAGCAATAAGAAGCGCGATCATAGAACATCTGGTCGAAAATGATCACCCTATCTCTATAGCCTCCGCCTTTAAAGTCATCTACAAGGCAAAGAGCAATCTACCTAAATCCCTACGTACCCGACTCATCTGTATTGCTGAAGCTTTGGCTATCGAAACAGAAAAGCCAGATCTCTGTGTACAGAAAAAGTTCGTTCAACCCCTCCAACTTTCATGGTCTTAATCCCTCTATGCTAAAATATGGTAATCCCCAATCATATTTTAGCTCTACCATTTTTATTTTTCATTTTGTCTATTCAATTTGTATACTTTTCCTTATTAAGTCAATTGTTATTATTACTATTCTCACTTTGAACTGTCCCCGGTATTATTTCACTTGTTCCACTTGTCATTCTAAATCAATTCTTTTTTACAACGATAAATTCTATGCTATTAAATTTCACACAATATTACGTAACGTTTTTGTTTTATTCGATTTGCCTACTAATCCTATAATTGCACATCCTTTTTCAAGTTCTATCCCTCCTATGAATTATTCTATATATGACATTAATCTGCTTTGCCACTTGACATTTAACTACGATTATAATCACAAACATTTTAGTTTTAATTGAACTTCATATGATTATTATTATTATTTTATGTATTCACACCTAAGATTCAATTCCCTCACCGGATATAACTTCTGATAAACCATATATATACGACTGTACAGCTTGATGATAAATTCGTTGAAAAGAGTCTCTTCGCTGAATCACTTGTTTTGATTTTCTAAATGTTACAATGGGAATTTTCCATGTGTTATTGGATTGTTGCTGTTGTAATTTAGGATTTGGTCTGTGTGAGTTGATTTCCTATAAACTTGAGTTTCTAACTCCCCTGTGGTTGTTTGCTTGACTAAGACGTCAAAAAATGGTATTTTGTTCTGGGATTCCTTCTCTCTTGTAAACTTGATGTCATTGAAGACGTTGCTTAATAAGTTGTGAGTTTTATCTAATTCGTTTCTTTTGATTATTACAAATGTGTCTTTGACGTAGCGGAGCCAAATCTTGGGTTTGATCTTTGGTAGTATTATGTTTTAGAGCCTTTGCATCATTTTAAAAAATTGTTTTTGATTACAGATTGATTCCACACCGTATTTTTGGTACAAGTATGGAATTTTCAGCATGGATATCGGTAGCACAAATTTCACAGGCCGACCATAGCTATCAGGTGTGCATCGGTGTGGGCTCGAACCCTGGACCATGTTCATGATCGAAGAGAGTCCTAACCACTGTGCCACCAACGCACTACTTCTTCAATAAAACCTGATATTGGATGTTTCTTTGACTTGTTCATATATTTGGCCGTTGAACTGGAAGTGTGTTGTTAGGCATAGTTTTATACATTGCCATCCAGCTTGTGTTTTGTGTTTTAACCTTGTTTTTAGTCTAAAAGTGTACTAAACCTATGATTACTTCAGTGAAACGTACTTTACACTTTTTTAGCATGTTCCTGAAACTTCTGAAACTGTATTTATGATCGATCAATTTATGGTTAGCAGCTTATGAGCAGTGTTATTTGGAGCTCATTTTTCAGAACTGCAAGTTTTTTCTGCCTGTAACCGAATCATACTCATACCAGTGTGAAAGCAATGCAGAATCATAGAAAAAAATCTCCCATTCAGTTAGGAAATCTGTCAAGAAGAACTGCAAACCCCGCCCCCGGACGGTTGTGAATAAGTTCTTTTGATTTGAATTATTTTCTCGATAACATTTTTAAACTATTTACACATATCTGTGTATTTTTTGTAGGTTCTTGTTCGACATGGTTGTGATATTAATCAAGTTGATTCGTTGAACTGTTCTCCTGTCCATCATGCAGCTAGAAATGGACACAGTGGTTAGTTATTTTATGATCTGATCTTAAAAATATAACTTTAAATATTTTAATGTTTGAGTCTTTCATTCAACTTCTTTACAGTTTATCTGAATAAGAAGTATTAAGATCTGTACAACTCACAAAGAATATTGTTATCATAAGATGACTGAAAAATACCGTTAATATATATGTGTAAAACTTGGACTCTGTGGTAGTAAGTAATTCCATATTAGTTTATTTATTAGATGTATTACACACACACACTGAGTGAAATAGTATTAGTATTTACTGGATGAGACACAGTTTCGAACAAAATTATTCGTGGTTCATAATCATACCAATCAATTGTAATCACACGACTTTGAAACTTGAGTTTTATGCGTGCATGCATGTCAAATATGTGCAAGACGATGGCAACGCTAACAATAAGGAATCTGAATCATCATTAGCAGTTGCATACAACGGAAGAACCTCGGAAACTACCTTACTCAGAATTCTTAACAAGGTAGGAATAAAAGTGGCTGGCATTCAAACCAACCACAAACTCAATTAGAAACAAGCTTTGTCGGTTAAAGGATCAATCCTGTGTAGCCTTTAAAACAAAACAATTTAGTTTATCTAATACCCTGCCTGACTGCAATGATTGTCAAGTCAAATACATAAGTCAAACTAGTAGAACAGGGCAGCCAGACTAGCCGAACATAAAAACCTAGCAGCAAAATCTAGATTGGTTGACCTAAATAAGATAAGAAATCTGGAGAATAGTTCAGCTACACCACACACAACATGCACATACACAGAGAAATACAAAAAGGATAGGACAAGATGATAGTGTTTCTAAATCTAATGTCACACGGTGGAGGGAGAGATTGATAACGAAAGCTAAACTAGCCAGTTTGTATAATTACGAGTTAAGGATGTAGTATAAACGAATTGGGTAAAAGTCTTGGATATACAATTCTCTCAGTCAAACATACTTCATCGTCAGTCTACGAATAACATTCTCCTGCAGGAAAATATCCACCTAACACGTGAAAGATAAGCTGTCGCATCGGGCCACCTCACCAAGCATATACAAGTTCACTTGCTAGTGTGAAGCAGAGTACGTTGGCTGCATCATACATCTGCTTGTAAAAACAAGCTTTAGAACACTTTTCAGCCTGGTTAGCAAGGGCGAACGCAAAGGGATATATAGTTCGATAACAGAACGCTTGGTGAATTCTGGACATCCAGCCCCATATGAAAAGTTCTCCAAAGCCATATATAATTTTTTTGTGATTATAGCTTGTAACCACACAGTCTTTTTGGTATTAGTATGGAATTTTCAGCATATGATATCGGTAGCCCCAATTTTGCAGGTCAACAATAGATATCTGATGTGCGTCGACAGGGTATCGAACCCCGGACTGTGCGTGTATGGTCGGGCAGAGTCCGATCCAAGCTACGAAAATGGAGTGAAGTGAAGACATCTAGGAGTAGCTGAAGTAGTAGCTATCCAAAAATTCAAACCTATTATATGTCCAAAAGAATTACTTTCAACTGTTCTCCCTGCTGTGGCTACTATGAAAAGCCAGTCTCACCAATAAAATGATTATCATATTACCTTTCTTGTCCAACTTTCCCTTTATTTGTTATATTTAACTTTTACATCCTTATCTCCACATTGTTAAATTTAGTTACCGGTTTTATTTTTTATATGTTCCAACCTCCTAACCATTTCGTTAATACTACATCCTTAACTCGTAGTTACACAAACTGAGTAGCTTTCTAGTAATTATAGTTCTAATTTTATCTTTTCTACCTGATCTTCCTGATTTTCATACATTGGAATTTTTGATTTGACCTTGGCCTGAAATACTTCTAGAATGGTGCCACTTACCTATCTTCTATAATTTTATTAATCTGACCTCTGGCCGGAAATAATTCTGTAACGTTCTCACACATGCAATATATATCACACAAATGTACAGTCTAGTTGATGACTTCGTTGTAAAGAAAATGAGTTGGTAAAATATAGCGTAAATGGCAGTTTTCAATTTGTTGTAAGGATAAGAGATCTTAATGTGAGGGACAAGTTTATGATATCTTTTGATATATCCCCTCCTTGTTCACGAATGTACCGTTAATGGAGACAGTGGATTTTATATGTGAGGAGATGACTACACGAAACATAGACATCGGGATTTCTGTATCCACCTTGAAGGAAATTAATAATTTAAGATGTACAATGAACGTTCATTTCTTATTCAATAAGGAATATTACAGACAAATTGATGGTGTAGCTATGGGTTCCCCATTAGGCCTAATCCTAGCTGATTTTTTCCTCGCTAAGTTAGAGAATGGACCACTGAAAGGAGTAATTAGTGACTTGGATTTCTACTGTTGATATATGGATGATACATTTCTGAGCATAAAAAAACGAGGATGATGCAATGAACATCCTTGACAAGTTTAATGATGCCCACTCAGCGATAAACTTTACCATAGAGAAAGAAAGTAATGACAGTATCTCATTCCTAAACGTCTTCATGACAAGGAAAGAAGATGGCACACTAAGAAGGAGTGTGTACAGGAAACCTACTACAGCAGGACAGTACACTCATTTTTTGAGTTTTGTACCTTTGAAATATAAACGTAACCTGGTAAAGTGTCTGGTTCATAGATCTAGGTTAATCTGTTCAGACGACTGCTTCAATGAGGAGCTTAAGATTATTACAGAATTGCTTAGAAAAATTGTTATCCAGATAAGTTTATTGAGAAAAATATGAATTCATCACCTAGGACAGTCACTATGGCAACAGTTCCGAAAAAACCACTGTTCATAAAACTTTAGTTCCTCGGTGACAACATCAGCGAAATAATATCACAACGACTGAAGAATGCAGTTAAAAGAGCTTATTATGCAACAGAGGTACGCTGTCTCTTCACAACCACACCTATCCTACGTTCGAGTAATAAGGATAAACTACCTAAGTTCACCTCTTCTATGTGTATCTACCAGTTTGACTGTAGCTGCGGAGCCAGCTACATCGGGCGAACAATTAGGCAGGTTCATCATCGTATTTCCGAACATTATCCGGCATGGTTAAGCAAGGGACAAACAAGATCTATCCGTAGCTCTATTTTAGCCCACCTTGTAGATAGTGAGCATAAGGTTGACGTTAATACTGCATTTAAAATTATATATTAATTTTTCTTCGTTAATTATCACCCCATTGACATTTTGACACTGACTAATTATTGTTAACAAACATATCAGTGCCATTTGATTGGTAAATTGTTGTGCACTGTAATTAAAATGCTATATATATTAGAGTAGAGCCAGAGTGAGATGAGGATATAATTGAAAAAAGTAGAGATTTCCTCGATCGCTCAATCTTTCTGTTTTCTAAAGGTCTAAATGGGGATATTTTCTATACTGAAACCATCTTTATAATAATTCCTATGATCTAATCTGTAAATCTCTGTATTTATCCGGTGATAAACATAGCCACAGATTGATCAGATCAGTTGAAAGACTTTTCAGTGCTGTAGAACTATACATCAGTTTCTTAACCATTAACGTTTACTGACACCATGCACCAAAGATATATTATCAAAGATAGCCATATCAATATATGCGTAGAAGTTCAACTGCTCATATAAAGCTAGATATATATAGGTCGCACTTACAGGAATTTATGCGCTGGTAAACATGTTCCTGTTTGACTTGCAGGAAGTGAAACCAGATCAATAAATAGTGCCATTTTATCTCATCTATTAGATAGTGAAGACCACATCAAGATAGATGAGACACTTACGGTTGTACATCGAGTATCAGGCAGTTCTTCTCCAAAGGCATACGATTACATAGTCTAGGCATAGATGGAAATTTGGAAATTGATAAGAGGAAGCACAACCTATGGGTACAAAAAAAGGCGGATTCATCTTCTTTAGTTACCCTGGTCATTAGGGAAACAGTCATCTTATATTTTTATGTCATATTATGCATTTCTTATATCTCTTCACCTAGCTAAACTAGCTCCAATTTATAATCCTTATTATGTGTGTCAAGCTTTGTAGTGTACAATCATCTGGTTATGTCTAGTATCTTATTACATATCACAGTTATTAAGTGTCAGCCCTTGAACTTACACTCACTGTTCCTCATTTCTGAGTATTTCTTTGTACGTATTTTGTGGCAGTCATTTTCCTCGCACACCACTGAATTTAACTCTCTACCCTCCTCCAATAAAACCTACATTCTGTTGATTATTAATGCATATGGGGGATCCTGGAGTTCTAGTGAGAATTTATGACCACTGAGGTCCATCCATTCAAGTGTGAGGATGGATTTACCACCTGTGACACTGGTTTTCGGTTACGCTAAAGGCATCAGGAATTGGTAGAAGTTAGAATTCATGGGTTGGCCAATGAAATCTGGTCCCAGTGGCAGAATGGTAAACGAGATTGCCTTATAACTTGAAGGTCCTTGGTTCGAACACCACTGTGGTGGGTGTGTCCTGCCAATGATTTACTAAACTGGGATGTAAGAGCTAACTGTCCAGTCCAGTTCCCCCTGCCGGCTCTCAGTGGCTCTCTAACTGATATTAATCCATGATCAACTCGTAAAAACAAATCTAATCGTTACAAACCAACTAATAAAGACATTAGTACGTCATCCAGATGTCTATTGGCACATTATTTTATGTTCTGAATGACTGTACATTTTATATGAATTCAGTTGACAGTGTGAACTATGCGACTAGGGGTCCATTATATATGTGTAAGTCGTTACATTATCTACTGTGATTTTCACCTACCTTTACTGGGTGGCTATTTGTATTCTAATATTCATGGATTTATAACTGTAAAGCCTGAGGAAGGGATTATCGATGACAACAAGGCAGCTCAAAAATCATTTTTTTCTACTATACTATGATAATATTTATACTACTGAAATCAGCTTTTACATTAATGGTGTTATTTATTCCTTTTTTTAGCTACAGTTGACTGGCTTATAAGGAATGGAGCAAATCTTTTGGAATTTAATTTATTTGGTCAAAGACCCTCTGATTTAGCTTTGGCTAATCACTTTCCTGAACTTGCAGATATCATTCGTCGAGAAGGTTAGTTGCATTCTCAGTATCTTATGCATGTGAAGTACCAGGAGCTTTTAGTTAAGCTTAAGTTACAAACTTACTTAATGTTCTGCAATTACTAGTATTCTCTGAGCTGGTTGGTTTAGTTGCGGAGCTTTCGTTGTCTTTCTGAACAACATCTTCAGCGCAATATTTAGCATAAAGTGAAATGATTTAAATTTCTTTATGAGTGATTTAACTGTGTCTCCCGGTAACCATCTTTGAATATGTATTGATCATTTTTTATTGACTTGGATTTTAAACTTTCTGATCACCTGATTTACTTTTTATTAATTAGTTGGTATATTTGGTCTATATTAACGTGTATGTTAATTGCATATTCTTTTGAGTACCAGGCTTCTAGGAATTCCCTGACTGCACTTTTGGTGTTTCCTCTGTCTAAGATTTTGACATTATTCCAATCAAACTGATGTCCATAACTGTCTATGTGCATTGATACTAAAGAATATACATTGTGTCTTTTCAGGGCTGATTTGTGTTCTTGGATTCTAATTCGTAGGGGACGCCCACTTTGGCCGACGCAATACCTGTTACAGTTCATACATGCAATTTATTTTGTAAATGGTATTAATTTTATCTCCTTTTTCTGTTGGATCTTTCGGTTTGCATAATGTGGAATTAAGCGATTTGAGTGTCTTGTGTATTATATCATTATCAAGCAGTTTCAGTATTCTAGCTGTTATTTCAGAGATATTTCTCATGTATGGTATGATGAATTTTCTTGTGGTCTTTGATGATAGTTCCTTGTTAAAATTTTGCAGATAACCATTCCTTTTGAAGACCATTTGTAGGTATTTTTCTGCCTATGTTTTCACCTCTGGAGTGCTTCAGTGCGTTCGAAGTCTTTTAAAAATGTCTGTACACAGTTTCTTTTGAGCGTAATTAGGTTATTTCAAGTATAGTTAAGTATTTGATCTGTGTCTTGGCGTTGATTTTCTATTGTGGTGAGAGCAGGCCGTGAGAAAATATGAGCAAGGCTGATTCGACAACCAATCACAGCAAAGTTAACGTGGCAAAATATGATTCGCAGATAGAGAACTCTATTTGTCGAGTAATCCCGAAACAACCAATCAGAAGCCTGCGTTGTCTGCCTAACTTCTGATAAACAACCAATCAGAAGACTGCGCTTGTCTACTTGCATAAGCTACATATAATAATGTATGTGAAATATGTATAAATACGTGTTGATTTTCATAATAAAACGATCTGTTGCCTGGCCCTTGTCTTCTGTTGTTACACTATATACTTGTGTTTGCAAATTTCCTGTGTTGGTTCTCCTGTTTAAGACATTTAAAAATAGGATTTTATCATCTTATTCTTCTTCTCTTGTGAATTCGATGTCTTCAGATATGTTGTTTATTAATACATGGGTATATTCTAAATCATTTTTCTTAATTATTACAAATGTATCATCAACATGACGTACCCAGATTTTCGGTTTAATTATAGGTAGAGCTATTAATTTTATTCTTTGCATAACGGATTCAGCTATTAATCCTGATATGGGCGATGATCTCATTGGTGTTCCTTTTATTTGTTCATATATTTGAGTAGTGAATTGGAAGTATGTTGTAAAACATAATTTTATGAGTTCTATCCAATTCGAACATTATGTTTTTATGTTTTCATCACTGTAGAGTAATTGATACATAGTTCCTGTTGCTAGTTTTGGACTAATTGTAGTATATAATGCTGTGACATCAAAGGACACCGTTATTTCATTACCTTCATCCACCTGAGCTACAAATCTTCTCTATTATTACTTATTGTTCTCATTAAAATCGTTTCCAGTGAATTTTGAAGATGAAGTCAAGTAACTATAGATTGTTTATTTTCACTTTTTTAAGAAAACATTTTGAGTAGTTTGCTGAAATTCTCTATCTCTGTTGACATGTTGGTTCCTGGTAAAGACCCTTTGACAGTACGTTTTGGTAAAATGGTTGAAGGTGGCCAGCAGTGTGCTGAAGGATACTAGTTCCATCACATTCTGAACATTCAGTTTTGACGATGGATTGATATCATTTAGAGAAGCACTAGCAACCAAAGAATACTATAAAGCTGTTTCTTCCTATACTATTACTCTTCGACTGTAGGCGTCCACGACAGCCCAAACCTGGGAGCTGCAGGGAACAAGGCAAGCTTTTAGATATTTCAGCCTTTGAAGCCTAGGCCAATAGTTAGTTGAATTTCAACTTCTACCGAAATGAGACTAACTAGTCATCGAGCGAAGTTGTTAGGAGTTGTGGTGAGAAACTGTGACCAGTTGAGTTCAGAAGGTCGGGTTCGAGGACATATACTCTACGGCGACATATGTTGGTGGTCGTGCTCAAAATTTATGAATTGATGTTAGAATCGGTGGGTTATTGGACCAGGTTCCAGTGGCTTGATGGTCTATGCGCCTGCCTTGTAACTGGAAGGTTCTATGCGCAAACGCAGTTAAGTTTGTAACTCTGAGGAGTCCGGCACCAGGAAGAAACAGCTGTTCATTGATTTCCAGTTTCCGATAGTTTTCCAAGTGACATAAATCCGTGGTTCAACTTAAAATAATTCAAATCACCATAGACTAACTCAAGACAATTATTTTGAATTTGCATCCCCAGTAAGATGATATACGTATTGAAACATGTACTCGATCCTTGTTGTTGCAAATGCCTATGGGTTATCCACCAGACCACTTCATGAGAAAATCGTAACCTTTAGACATTATCGAAGAGTGTTAACCAAGATCTGCTATTTCAATTGCGATGAAGCATATTTTACCAATTTTTGCATGAATGCAACAATAACATTAACTAATATATTGTGTGTAGCGATACCTTCTTCAGTCGACAGAAGACTCAGGAAGAACTTTTTTGCTACCAAAAAGTATATTTGACTTGTCCTTACAGATCGGAGGCATCAAATTAAAAGTTCAATACTGCAAAATTTCACCTTGTCTCTGTGTAATCGCATTATGAAGTAGCTTGTTCAATAGTGACCAGTAATGGAATCTAGAAGGCACATTTCCTCCTAGGTAGGTCTCATCATCCGGATGTACCTAGACTTGAACGTGGCCCACATCGTATCAAGTGTCTGAGAGCACTGTCTGATAGGGTTACAAGGGCCATTGGAGGGCATTCAGTTGTTGATGACATCAGCTTTGATTTGATGTTGCTCCCCTTTGCTAGCCAAATTGATATAATTAGTAACATGGCTCACTATCATAAAAAAAACGTCAGCACGCGAATACTTGAGAAAGGACAGACAGCTGACATAAAAGTAATATCGAATATGCTTCATGAACAAGGTTAAATTTACCGGTAATTTCGAAAAGTTTGCAACCAACTAAAGTACACTTTTCACAAAGATTGAGGAAAACACATGAGCGTCATAGTTGCTTGATAAATAGATATGCTCAAGGTTACTGGCATAAATTTGGGGTTCACAAGTAAAACTCCGTGATTTGGGCAACTTTAAAATAGAATTTGAAGTAATTTACCTGAACACTGGCCTATAGAGTACTTTTTTTTCTTTTGCTTCCCATTTTAAGCTAAAAAACAATTCAGAGGTTTGGAATCTAAAACAGTAAAGACGACAGCTTCTATAGAGTCGAAGGGAGAGCATGGTGGTAAATAATACTTATTCAGCATTTACGACGACAATTTTTTCTGTTAAATAAAATGTATTACTTAAATAGATATGTGTGAAAAGATTCTGTTTTTTGTAATTCTTTATTATTTCAACCATCTTTGGGTGAGTTAAGGGTGAATTTACATGTCTTGTGGCGTACTTTATGTGATTTTTTTGTTTTAAATGCTAAATCATTATTGTTGCGGTAAATTACTTACTATTCCTACGTGAATAACGATGAGTAGCACTCGTTTCGCATGTGAATACTTCTGTTCTCAGTCTTTGATGTCGTCGACGGTTGATGTTATTCGAGAACCACAGGCAAGGAAAATATTCTTTAATCCAGGATTTCCCTGAAACCAGAAATATGATGATTAGGAACGCAAAGCAAGGTTCCATCACTCTCATGTCTGTTTGGCGGTCAGCAGCACTCAGCATGAAAAGTTAGATCCAGATTTTCAACTCCAGTTTGAAGTTACTGCTACTCACTATACGGTTCCTCTAGGAACTAAAAGAAACGACACTAATAATAATAATAAAAATCATGATAATAATAAAATGATAAGTATATACATGTAATGATAACAATAATATATATAATAATAGTACACCCATTAAGATTCGGAAAGTCAGGCAAGCGTAGATTAACCGTATAAGTCAGTGAAGATGGCTGTAACAGTGATACAATAATACAATCTGTAATACAGTTGTATTCATTAAGTTTGCTGAATGAATAGCATCTCTACAATCCCTATCAGACTAATGAAACCTAGAATTCCAACAGAAATATTCTGTCAGCGAAAAGACAAAGTGTCATAACATGACAAAATCAACGAAAACCGTCGGATCTGTGACAAAGTGGACATTTTCTTAGTCTTCAAACCAACTGCCAGAATGAACAAAGAACATCATTTCATACCAAAGAATGCTATAAACCACAACCACCAATCTGATTAAAAAAGACTTTAATATTTGAGAAAGTAAATCCTAAGATTTCTAGAGAATGCAAAGTACTGGGTGCAATGTGCAATCAGCATACATATCAAGAGACAAAAAATGTTGTAAGTACAAAACATCAGATCCATAGAACAATCAAAAGCATTACAGCTAAATGAGGGGCAAAGGAAATCTCTGAAGAAGATGATTCACTCTCAGGTTCATGGAAAGCCACTGGCTTTACAGTAGATTTGATGATGAAGACTTTGTGCAGAAAGACTGTGAGGACGTCACAGTCAGACTATGCAATCTACAGAAAACAGCTTCACCAATGGAACACACCTTTGGTGTATTCACTCTTTTTGGTAGATTCGTGTTGACGGAGATGAAAAAGGATTACCGCCTCACAAGACGTCGAAATGAAATAAAAGCCTTATTTTAAGACAATATACAATGTGGTTATCTTTAAGTACCTAACGTACTTTGGTTTTTCCGCAAACTTTGTTGGAGAACTCCGCTAAAAATGCTCGATAAACTTACCCGAACGAAAGAAGTAGCAGCTTTAGAGTCACCATTTAGACTAATACTAGCCCAGTTCCTCTGTATAAAATTGGAGAACAGTCAAAAGGATCAAGTTAATCGTGAATAATAATTTTGTCGCCATCATACTGATCATTTTCTCAGTTCTGAAAATGAAAAGTGATAGAAGGACCTTTGTAACTTGATTTAGCAGTGCTCTTCAGCAAGGGATCATGAACATACGTTTATTTACTAGTGAAAATAAAAGTCTTATTAGTGCACGGTTTACGGAAAACAGCGAACACTGTTTACATAGAAAATCAACCGCAGACGATCCAAATACGCATATTTACTGAGTTTTGTGGCTTTGAAGTATTTAGGGCTAAAGTTGACGGGTTATTGAGCCAGGGTGCTCCACTGAAATGGCTGTCTTAATGAAGCACCTACGACTGTTCTTGAAAACACTCCATAATAATAAATGTCTGGAGAAAATGCTCGAAAGATTTTAAATATTGGCAGCTTCTGGTGAGCCATTGTTGCCAGAATTCCAGTTGTATGGCCTTTGAAACCCTAGCACAATCGTTTAGGAAAGAAAGATTTTTGAGTCAGCGCTTATGCCTAGTTGATTGATTACAGTGAACTCAAATGACCCCTATCTGTTGACATATCGGTTATTAGTGCGGATGCTCCTGCGTTGTCTGGATATGGTACCTCTTGGCTGTCAGTGTTGTTAGCTGCAAGGTCCATACTGCCCTAATGTGTCTCATTATCAACTTGTCAACTGCCTGTCACAGAGAGAACTCACTTAGGATTCTGGCGCTTTCAGTTGATATGTCGCAAATTGGACAAAGTTTAAATCCTTGGTTCCACAGCTAGCTATCATAAACCAAAAGGTTGAAATGATACAATTCAAAGAAAAAAATTAAAATGTCATGGGAAGTAAAGTTGGCTAGTATTCATGCCCACAAACTCAATTAGAAACAAGCTTTGTCGGTTAAAGGATCTTGTGAAGCCCTTAAAACAAAATAATTTAGTTTATCTAATACCCTACCCTCAATGCCTGTCAGGTCAAATATGCATAGGTCAAACTAGGAGAACAAGGGTAGTCAGACTAGGCAAACATAAAAACCTCGCTAAATCTAGATTGGTTGACCCAAATAAGGTAAGAAATCTAGAGAGTAGTTCAGCTACACCACGCATAACATTCAATTACACACAAACATACAATAGGATAGGACAAAATGATACTTTTAAAATCTAATGTCACAGGGTGAATCAACTGCAAACACGTCTAATAGGAATGATTCAACACCTGTCTCAGATATCTAGAAAGTCAAACTACCTCCACGATAAATAGAAGAGAAGAAAGAAAACTATAAAACTCAAGTTTCGAAGACGTGTGACTAAATTCAAGTGTTGGGTTGTAGGGATTTGATTGGTTATAGGATTTCATCATGAGCTGACATTGGTTAGGGGACGATTGGGAAACTTGAAAGTACTGGACAGCTTTTCGTCCTAGTTTGGGACTCTTCAGTAGTACGCACCCACCGGGAGTCTAACCCAGGACCGTCTGTTAAAAGGCAAGGACAAATACTCGCCGAAGACATTCGCTAGGGGTCACGCTATGTCGTGAATTGGCGGAAGTTAGAATTCATGGGCCATTGGATAGAGTCCCAGTGGCTACTTTGCTGCTATTGTCAGGCCTACATTTATATCGCAGTGACCCAAGAGGTTACACTGACTAGAACTACTGTTCCTGAAGGTCCCACCATGCGGGAATAGTCGATCGTTGAAACATCTGTTAGAATAAAAGTAGTTACCATTATTGTGTAAGTGATTTACAGTATGTTGGTGGGGGTTAAGGGAAAATTCGTACTGCTAGACACTGGAGTCGTGATAGTACTGAGCTGTTTCCCTTAGGTGATCATCATGTCAGATATACTGCATCTCTGCTCTGGAGAGTGGGTGGGGGCGGGTTAGACGGAGTCAACCCTTAAAATTTTACACTCCGACTTACCTTACAGTAGTTTTGTTGCGGAGTGAACATCATAAACCATTTGAAACAGGACGTCTGTGTGTGGCCCGGTGGGTGCGTACTGATGAAGAGTCCCAAACTAGGACGAAACAGCTGTCCAGTACTCCCAGGTTTTTCAATGATCCTCTAACCTTGACCTTGGCGGCCTGTTTAAATCTTGGGCTACCAATTACCTTAAACATTACAAATCATAATGCATCTAATTTCTCATTTCTAATTGATTTCTTAATCAAGAAAGAAAAAGCATCATGCCGGCTGGCAGAGAGCATTAAAATATACCCCTATTCAATTCATGACCTTTCCCGCAATTATGAGTACCAATTGTCGCTCCCTACCGGCTAAAATTAACTGTCTTCAATTGCTGATGTCTTCAACTTTATATCGTAATACTGGGATTATATCACTTCAAGAAACATGGTTACATGATCTGTACGATGACAATCTAGTACATCTAAATAATTTCAAACTATTCAGACAAGATCAGTGTAGTTCCAGGAAGAAACGCGGTGGCGGTGTCGCCATCTTCATCAGTTCACAATGGTGTACGTCTAATAATGTATGTTTCAAATTCTCCAGTGACAATATTGACTGTCTCACCGTTAAGTGTCGACCTAAACATTTGTCAAACTGCAAGTACATTTACATCTCGAACATTTATATTGCTCCTGGATGGAACTCCACAGAATTATCTTTATTTGCGGATGAATTTACCTCCCTTGCTGCCACCTCCTTCGGAAATTCCTTATCTGTAGTTACTGGAGATTTTAATTCTATTGATCACAACTTCCTAATTTCACTTGGACTAGAATGGATAACGCTCTTGATCTTGTGTTTACAAATGACGCAAGAAAATTTGAAGCTCGAAAAAGAGCCCCACTACTAAATTCTGATCACTGTATCATAAGAATATTGCCCAAAGTACATGGAGAGCAGCACAAAAGGGTCTTCTCACACCTTGGAAAGAAAACACAACATAGATGTTATTCCCATGACAACATTCTGAATCTAAGGTCCATGTTAAACGACACTAACTGGGATTTATTTACTGAACAAGCTCTTGATAACACAATTACCAACATAACACATTATCTTAATTTCTGTCTTGATGTTTGTTGTCCAAAAGAGACAATCGGCTTAAAATTCGATCGCTTCTTCTCTTCTCAACTCAAAAAGCTCCGCTGTGAAAAAGAAAGTTTGTTCGAAATGAAAAACAAATCTGGTGTTAAGAGAATGAACACTTTGATTAAGCTTGAATTACAGAGATTGGATGCTCTCTATAACCAGAAGTTTCTTCCATGTAAATCCACATCAAATTTGTGGAAGTTATTAAAGGAAATCACAGGTGGTAAGCAAATGATGAATGATATTTCTGTAGATGTTAACATGCTTAATGAATCCTTCATATGTATCTCAGCAAATGTCATGATATCAAACTCAAATAGTGTAAATAATGACTGCTTCTCATGCTTTAACACGATTGATTTCCTCAAGTGTCTTCAACCTCTCAAGCCTACTC